AACATAGTGTTGGGTTGCTGTCCACATTTTTATGGGATGCTCCTTGCTCTCCAGATTGTTTCACATTCCACCGGTGTGACTCTATAGAACAGTATGAGATTGGCCGTTTGTTCTTGGCTAACAATATTATTTCCTTATTATTTACAACTTTGCTATGTTTGCTAGCTGTTTCTCTTTACCTGGGCATTCCACTTGGGCCATGGTTTACCTCTTTGGAGGTTCTTACCATACCAATCAAATAATAAAATTTAAAATGGGAATTCTATATATAGTTTATTTAGTTTCCTTGAAGTCAATGAAATTCCTAATATTTGCCATAGCCAGTGATTTTGAAACACCACCCCCACACACTTCTTTTTGTTTATCTGGAGAATTTCTTCCTAAATCATCATAGTAACAGTTAAAACAGGACTACTTTGGTTGGGCAAGTTTAGGAAGAAGTGCCCATTTATCATTTTTCTTGCCAACCATGAGGACATCCTTGAATTGAGACTGAGTAATATTTATTATCCTGGAATCACAAAGAAGTTGAAAAACTATTGCCAACATTACCTATCACAGCTCACAGAATCAACGAATTCTAAAGCAGTAAGACTCCAGACAGAATCCAGCACACATTTCCTATGTGAAGAAAAAGAAACTCAGGGGCAGAAAGGATCCCTAGATCAAGGCTGTACTGTTTGTTGGTGGTAAAGCCAGGCTGTTTCTGATCTCTCATTTCTCAGTGAAATGATCTTTTGTTGTGCTGGTTCCAAGGTTACCAGGGCTTGCCTTTTGGGGGTTGCAGTTTCTGACTACTTACTTTCTCTGAGTTCTGAGTCAGACAAATATTTCTGAGACTTGGGAAAATCTGTGCATACTCAACTATAATTTTAAAATGGAAGTGGCAGCTCTACTTCAATGAGAAAGGCCACAGAGAATCACTTCAAGACCACTCCTTGTCATTCATTACTTTGGGCCACACACTTTTAACTACCCCCCTTCCCTCTCCCCCCCCCCCAAAAAGGCAGAATTAAAAAGTGTATCTGCTCCTTCAAAAGCAGGGCCTTAGAAAACTTGTCTTTCATCTGCCACAACAGATACCCTTTTCTTAGATTAGCAGTTATGCTGAGAGGTAAGGGTATGTGACACCAGAAGAAAAAGTGTTTTATTATTTCCAGGCTGGAAAACCAGAATACTGATCTATACTAGATACCCAGAGATAACAGGTCATGTTTCTCCAGACCTGATAACTGCAGAAAGTCAGGAGAGAAGACAATGATTTTAAGACTTGAGTCCTTACTTCATTTATGTATTTATTTGCTTTCTTCCACACCCCAAGTACAGTCATGATTTGTCTGTGACATTTTCTTTGCTTATTAATGACTTCTCTTGGTCCAGTCTTTTTGATGTGTATATGAAGTTGTTGCCTGTTATCCATTCTGGAAACACAATGGGCATTTAGATCTGATGAAGCTTTCTGAATGTTAGGAACTMTTGCTCAATTACCTACCACTAAAATACTCAAAAGTCTTAGGATTATGTATAACTAAAATGTTGTATAAAAATGTTATATAAAACATTATGTATAATTAAATTTATAAAAAAGAAAAAAAGTTTCTGGGAAAAATCTTAAAATAACTTTTCAATTGTGTGTGTTTATATGTGCGTGTATTGAAGAGCAAGAACATTTGTATTATTTGATTTTCTGTGGCAAAATGTTCCATGGTTCCTGTACTTCTGAGGGTTTTAGTGATTGGATAAGGGAGTATTTTGTTTAAAAGCTTATTCCATTTGCTTTACTCTGCAGAGCTCCCTTCTAATTATTGTTATTGTTGCTTCAATTGTGTGTGTGTGTGTGTATGTGTGTGTGTATAATTCATTGTGGTATATTCAAACATGGACATAGCATAATTTGGTAGATTTTATTCCCCAATATGCAAGCAGTTCTGGGAAAGAGGTGGGGAGAGAAAAGGAAGGTACTGTAGAATGCTGTTGATCAGATTATGTCATGTGCATGTACAGATATGGCATAATCCCACTGTTATGCACAATTAAAATGCACCAATGAAAAAGTTCAATTCTAATTGGCATCTGGGCCTGATCATCCAAAATGTCTGTGGCTGATGATGACAGCAACAACAAAAAACAATTGCCTTATTCCACTTTACAAAAAAATGTAGTAGAAACACCTATTCCCTCTCCCCCAAATGATCACATTTAACAACCAAGTACAGGGTCCTTGCTCTTTAGTAGGAGTTTATAGGTTGTGCTTTTCATGCATGCAGCAGGATGGCCAGTTCCTCCTAAGTTTTAAGAAAACATGAAAACCACAAAGAATGTCTGAAATTATTTTCTCTTGGTTGGTGGGACAGATGCCTTTCCTCAAGGAAAATGCCTTAGGCCAAAACAAAGCCAAATTCGTTCAAAATATATTGTTTGGTAATTGCACAGACTCTGGATTTCATAAACTTTACTTTCAATGCAAGGATTTCACTTTTCTAGGAAAGGTTCATATGTGAAATGGAACAGGCACACAGGCAGAGGATGAAGTGTTAAAGAGAGTTGACAATGCCAAAGGCTAAGGCAGTTCAAACAAAGACTACACAAGTACATTGAAAGGCAACCAGCCAATGTGGGTGTGATTTTTGTCTAGGGGTCATTCAGGAGCACCTGGCTGGCTTTATTTATAATGCCATTGTCAAATCAATCTGTAGAATATGGATGAGGTGAAACACAGAGGTGGAGTATTATTCTAGATCATCTGTAACTTTTCAAATACAACCTTCATGCTGAAATTCCAGGGAGAATGTAAGTGACTCCAATAAAGAAACCTGTCAGTCAGTCAAGTGTGTTTATTTATTATCCCCCTGTGCCAGGCACTGTTCTAGCCAATATGAAATGATACAAAATAAAGAGTAGTCATCACCCTTACAGTCTCGTTAGAGCAAATGGATTAAAACTGCAGACACACATACACTCCATGTGGGTGGTCAGGAAACTCAATTCTATGGATATGCAACAACCTCAATTAGAAAAGTTCTGATTAGAAAACTAAAGTTATAAAATTGGAAAGTCTGAAGAATAATGACTTATATTATAAATAGATGAAAATGGATTCAGAAGGCATGTCTTTTATATGTCCCATTATGCTATTAAAATGGAGAACCACTCCCCTTCTGCACACATTTACAAAACACCTTTAGAATACATTTATTGTGCAAATATGGATTCCCAGGAACGATGTGAATGAGCTGGTAAGTTGAATAAAATAAAAAATCTGTATCCACTAAAATGTAAAATCCTTAAAGTCAAAGATCCATTACTCTGAAGATAGAAATGGGAAAGGGGGAAAAAATGAAGGGGACTGATTGGTAAGGATTTCAAAGGCCAAATAAGCCCAGAATTCATTGTTTAATTTTCTTTCATATTTTTCGTTTTAGTATGGGGATGGAACCCAGAGCCTCCCGCAGGCTAAGCACATGGAACTACTTCTCTAGCCCCCAAATTTTAAGGAATAAGGAGAATAGAATATACCAAGCAGAGAAGTCTTGTTGGTTGTTCTCAGTAGGTGTCCAAGTATAGAAAGAGGGGTTGGAATTTTAGCTTGGCAGAGGAAGAGTCAGCTCCTGGTTTGGTCTAGTAGTATATCTCTGCTCAAAATCCACTTCTTAGTTTTAGGAAGGATAGTATCTCAGATCACTGTCCGAGCCAGAAGGCCCAGGTGGTTGGATTGTTTGCACTGACTTGCTTAACAAAAGGTTGGGTGATGCTTCTGATTTGTCTGCCATGGCACTTGTGTGATATTATCATTTTTTCATTGTGTTTTTTTATTTCCCCCCAAGGCTTCACTTTTTTATTTCATGTTCTGACTCTCTGCTTGTGCCTTCGACACTTTCACAAGGATTTTCTGCTCCTAGATAAGGAAAGTACACTTGATCCTGTCACAGACACATGTAGCACACATGGAACCATCATAGGCCCCGCTGACATGTTTTTTCGTTTTAGACAACCTCCTGAGAACTTTAGGTCTCAGTACAAACCTCTCAAGTGGGGCCGGGCACGTGCCACACGCGGATTTTGGTGCTTTCTCAAGCATCTTGCTATAAAGGCAGAGGAGTCTCTTACCCGGGGTCTGGGAGGCTTCATTGCGGTAGAGGCTGTAAGGTGGGAAAGCTTATGAATGTATGTCTAACCACGGCCCCTTATGCGTGTCCCTAGACATAATTTCCAATARAGCCTGATGTTAATTTAATATTAACCAAATAGTATTCAAGTTTCCAGAGACTTTGGCCCCAGCTCTTACTTAGCACAGTGCCTGACACAGTAGTCATTCAATAAATACAGGACTGTATTTATCCAACTATTTTGGCTGTTCGACTTTACTTTTGCTTTCTGCATCCTGTTTCAGAGATGCTTATTGGAGGGAAATCTTTGAATTCAATTTCCCTTTTTCCTTCAGTCCAGAAAGTCTGGCCACGGGTCCTGGCATAGTCCTTTGGGACCGGGGAACCCCTTGGAAATAAATGASGAGGAACAGGAGCGCAGGAGGAGGAGGGTCGCAGGAAGTTCTTTCCCACTTCTTTCTGCCTTCGCAGCACCCTTCGCCACCCCCTCGTGCTCTGTACTTGGGGACAGGGGCGCCCTAGGAAAGGAAACCGGGGGTCGCCCTGGCGGCATTCCTCGCCGGGCCGTGTGGGTCCGGTCTGCAGTGAGCCCCGCAGCACCCCGGGTCTGTGCCAGCACCTGTTGGACAGCCAGCTGGCGGCCCGGCCGGCGMGAGCGGCCACGACCGAGGCTGCCCCTCCCAGAGGTGCCGACCCCCTGCCACCCCCTCGGCAGCCCGCGGGACCGCAGCTCGGCCTCCCCCGCTCCGCCAGAGCTCGGCCCACGGCCCCCACCTCCCGACAGCCGCGGCAGGGGGAAGGTAGAGAAGGGGAGGGGACAAGCCAGATCCTCCCGGCCGCCCGGCCTTCCCTCTCCGCCCCGCGCTCTCCGAGACGCCGCGCGGAGCCCCGAGGTTAGCGCCGAGCGCCAGGCGTGGGGGAGGGGACGGGGCCCGACCGGAGCCCCGCGGCGACCCGGAGCTGCCCAACTTTCCTGGGCTTGGAGGAGCAGGGGACTCGCCCGCACAAGGTGAACTTTGGTCGCGGAAAACTCAAGCCAGGTGCTGGGATCCGTGCTTTGGCGGTGTGGACGCGCGCACAGTGCGCGCGGAGCTGCGAGTCAGAGTACCGCGGCCCCCTCCACCCGCGCCGGGCCGCCTGGGCCCGCAGCCCCCGGCCCCGCTCCGGCGCCTCGGCCCGGGGGACCAGCCCGGCGCCCTCGTCTGGTTTCCTCCCCCTCCCCCTTCGGGGGTGGGGGTGGGGCGGGGAGAGGGGCGCCCGGAGAGCCACCTCGATTGGCAGCTTTGTTATTGATCAGAAACTGCTGGCTGCGAAACTGGCTTCCAGACTGACTTGGCGCGACCCTTGAGTGTTCGCCTCTGTCCAGGCCCCCCAACTGACAGGTGCTCCCAGCAACTTGCTGGTGACTTCTTGCCGCTCCCCCGGCTCCCCCGCGTCCCCACCCCCTCTTTCCTCCCTCGCCTTCACCCCCACCCCCACCACTTCGGCACAGCTCAGGATTTGTTTAAACCTTGGGAAACTGGTTCAGGTCCAGGTTTTGCTTTGATCCTTTTCAAAAACTGGAGACACAGAAGAGGGCTCTAGGAAAAAGTTTTGGATGGGATTATGTGGAAACTACCCTGCGATTCTCTGCTGCCAGAGCAGGCTCGGCGCTTCCACCCCAGTGCAGCCTTCCCCTGGCGGTGGTGAAAGACTCCGGAGTCGCCGTTTCCCAAGTGCCCGCCGTGAGTGAGCTCTCGCCCTACTCAGCCAAATGCTCCTCTTCGGGCTTCTCCTGCTGACATCTGCCCTGGCCGGCCAGATTCACGGGACTCAGGCTGAGTCCAACCTGAGTAGTAAATTCCAGTTCTCCAGCAACAAGGAACAGAACGGTGAGTCTCTCCCCCCACGCTCCCCCTTCTCGATTCTCGCTGTGTGTGTTAACGTTGGCATTGTGCGTTGGTGTGTGATGTAGACCAGCCCGCGAGGGTATCCTCGTCTCTCTATCCATGCAAATGCGCGCTCCGTTCATTGGCGTGGACTTTTGGAGGTTACGTGTAGTTTGCAACTTTAGGAGTTGCCACAAAACTCTTAACAGGGCAACGCGAGTGCCACTGCAGCCTCAGCTAGGGAGAGGACGTTCTGGGAGCGATTGTGAACGTCAGTTCAAAGCACATTGCAGGATCGCGCATTGCCTGAGTTAGAAGTTCAAGAACTGCCTTTAGAAGAGAATCCAAAATGAATGAGTCTTGGGATGTTTGACTTTGTTGGGGGATGGGGTGGCAGTGGGGGCATCAGGAAATGTATCGACTGCATTAATTGAAGCACTTTAAGTGAAAAGGCATCAATTAATCAATAAGTAGATAAATACAGAGGTCAAGAGGCCGTGTGGACGTGTTTTAGGGGAATGAAAAAAAAAGTATTTTTCTTGTTCTCACTTTTTTTTTTTTTTTTAACGTGCCTTTGTACTCCAAAGTCCTTACCTTTCTGGTGGTGTGTTTTTTGTATGTGTTAGTCAATGACTGCTATTTTGTGTGTGCTGGAAACGACTTAATCCTGCATAGGAAATGAGAATTACTTTCAGCTTTCAAGTGTACCTGAAATGTTTAGAAAACTCTCAAATGCAAGTTCCCTTGGGCTGGGATTGCACAGAGCTGGAGAAAGGCTCCTTTCATAAAGCCAGAGAAGCTTCGGGGTGTGTAATTTGCTTAGCCTCTGAACCCCATATGATTTACATCATTCAATTTCTAAACTCTTTTTCTCTTGATCTACCATTATGAAGTCATTTTTGAGAATCCTTTGTAAATAGAAATTTTATACTGCACATGAAACCACAATGTTAATGTAGGCTGTCTAAAATTGGAATATTAAACACTCTGTTTACAAGTCTTAGTGCTATTTGAAAATAAATGTACATGTTTTTTTCTGCTCTTAATATCACCTGTTTACAATGCGAGTATGCTATCACTTCACTAACCAGGTGAGATGAACACAAGCAGCATACCTGGAAAACCAGAATGAAGTGTGTTCTACTTTTAAGTCACACTGACTTTTTCTTTATATGTGGGGGTGTTTTAAAGCTCCGGCTCTGCATTTAAGCTGTATAAAGTATTCCTTTCTAAGAAAGCACAGAAAGTTCTAGAGTACAAAAATAGATAAAATAAGTATTTCTTGGACATTATTTGTATCTGTTGCTTGTGCACCAAAGCATAGGATCACATTTATTAGCCAACATTAATGTGGCTGCTCCTTGCAACTTGCTAATGTGGTGGCGCATGGCACCTGCAGGTTCCTTGAGCTGGTGATCAAAGGGCAGCCTGGGGATCTACCTCTAATCACAGGACCTGCAGAGGGCTGGGAGAAAGTGATCAAAGGAGCCACAGCACCAGCTGTACCCAGGCAGGAAGCAGATCAGACCAACCTTTGTTCTTTCTCATGTAAAATAAGTGTTCTATTCAAAATATTACTTCATACTAGACAGGCTTCTCCATATGACAATAGTGCACAACATTCCTAACCTCTATTTTTCTTTTATTCTTCTGGTCCCATATTATTTCTCCTACTACACATGCCTTGGCATGTCCTGGATTCTCGTTGCCTCTGTGTCCATTTCTTGTAGTCTCTCCTGTGATCCACATGCTGTCATTGTTTTACAGTGGGCCCCAGAGCTTTCAGGCAGCCCAGGGTTATTGGCCACTTTACTGAGTAGGTTCACACCCTAAGAAGAGGTGAGGTCATTAAGCCAGGGCCACACACATTGCTGCCATCTGAGGCTGGGCCATTTCCATTTCTAAGATGCATGATGCTAAAAATAGCCTGGTTATTTCCTAATCTGTGGGTAGTGGATTGGGCTATGTTTAGCTCCTGGACATTGGCAGCAGGAAGTAACTTGAAGTAGRGGAACTACTCACCTTGTAATTTTTAGCCTAAGAGGTGGCACTGGCCAGCACTAGGGGGCAGTGTAGAGCTATTTTTCTGCACATGCTCASGTTGATTTTTATGCTTCATCAATGTTCCCAGATTTGAGAATAACAGGTGGGTATTGAAGACGATCACCCTGGAAGGAGAGAAAATTTGCAGGAATAACAACAACTTCTTTTACATCTTCTTTGACTTTAAAATTTCCACTCTTCCTTTTTTTGGGGGGGTGGAGTGGTGATTATTTTTTGTCTTCATATTGAGTTACAATTGATTTTTGATTATTTTATTTCTCTCGCCATTTTGATGATTATCTAATTTCGTAAGTGCAAACCCTCCTGAGGATACCACATAGAAAATGTTGTGGGCCCAGTTTGTGCATTGCGTCATTTCATGAAAGGTCTTCCAAGTACTAAATATGAAGTGTCCAAATTGATCTACTGGGATTATAAGAGCTCATGTCTGCTTTCAAGGATCCCTCCCCATGATACTCTCTTTTCCTGAGTATCATAAACTCTCAAATGGTGTTTRCTCAATCAAATCCCTAGGCCTTCTCAGCTTCAGTATTAACTTGGCATCATAAATGAAATTGATTGCTATAGCTTTGCCATAGCCAATGCTGGATACATGGATTTAGACTGGAATATGTGGACATGATTCAAAATTAAGGATCAGTGTCATTTAAACTATTATTCGTTACTTATATTATTTGTTACCTGGTTTTTTATTTACATGAACACTGCAACTTTTGTTTCTTTACTGTAAAGGTAGCTTTATCCTCCAGTAATACAAGTTGCATTTCTGTCTCTCTCAGGCCACTGCCCCCCACCCCTTGCTGTGTGGGGATGGARCCCAGGGASTCACACATTTTAGGAAAGTTCTCTACCACTAAGATACATCCCAGCCCTAGTCCTTCTTTCTTAATCTTCCTTTGAACCCTAAAGTCTCATCTTACATATAAAACAAGGGTCTCCTGATTTAACTTAAGGAAAAAGATAAAAGATAATGCTGACTTTACTTTGAGGGTTTCGGATCTCTAAACTTCCTGTGTAACCATGGGAAAAAATGTCAATGGGCACTGGTTTTTAGATGTGAACGCCTACCAGGAAATGATTAAGTCCTGGGATGGTGCTTCTGAGTTGCAGCAGAAGCAATCATATATATTCATAAAGAAAAGTAAAGCTTATTTTTTTTCCCATGGCATGTACCAAATAGATGATAATCACAAAAGTGGTGGAATAATGCCTATTCTACCTTGCTTCATTGGTGAGTTATTTTAATACCTGAAACCTTCTTACTTTTCCCATTTTCCTTAGGCATTTTGAGTTTTGAGCTGGAATATGCTTCCATTAACTAAACTTAGCCTACTGGAGCACAAGTTATTGTATGCCCTGTTTTCTGCAAGGGCTTTGTGACATGAGGGGCAGTTAACTTTGGGGACAGTGGTCCTCTAGGAATGCCTTTTTGCTGGTCTCTTATGTTTGGATTTTCAGCCCCCTCTTTTTAAGTTCTGGCTTTCTCTTCCTAACACTGCCRATATGCTCATGCCTGGCCTCTTTGGGTGGTAGTTTCAAAGCTCTTCTATTAACAGATAATCACAATATTTTGAGTAGTGTCCAAGAGCAAATAGGCTCTGCCAGAGAACTGAGGGACTTTCCTGCAAGTTAGTCTATAAGTTTGACTACATGACCTTTGGGATATTTATTTTTGTTATTTAGAAGCTTTTTTTTTTTTTTTTTAAACTTCCTCCTGATTTTCTGTTCTGTTCGAGAGAGTTGAGGAAGTTGAATAAGTAAAGTACCATTATGTAATGATGAATTTTGTTTTTCACAGTAGGTGATTTTAAAAAAGCTCCACTCTTTTATGTGCTTAACTTTTCTCCCCTACCAACTGTTATGTTCTGTATTTAATTTGAAAGCCTTTATATTTAACTTTAAAAGGTGTCAGAACATATGAAATGTCTCTTGGAAGCCTCAGGAACTAGTATATCATTTGTTAATTATTTGTAATTAGATGTTAGGATCCCACACTACATTTGCCCAAAGGAACACTTTCCCCATTGATGCCATCTTGGCAGGCTTTGTCTCATGCACCTAAACTTTAGATTTGTTTATTCCTAATTTCATCTTTCCTGACACTGATTTTTTACACGTCTTCTTTGTGTTTGCTTCTACTTAGCTTATTTTTCAACCTTTGTACTGCCAAGAACCCAATTTTATCAATGAATGTTAACATCTTTTATATAAACAAAATTCTAATTCTAATGTGATGTATTAAAAAACTAGTAAGTAGTCAAGGCACATATATACCCCTACTCCCACAAAAATCCAAGACTACTGAAATTTTCCCCAGATTTTGCTTTTGTGTCAGTCAAAATGGTGGAAGCCACAGTCAAAATCCCTTTATTTACTTACTCTCATTTAAATGTTTCTAATTGTTTTATTTAAGCCATTGCACATAGCCAGAATCTGTATATAACCTCAAGCAGTCTCTAAATAATTTTCGTATTATTAAACAGTCTGTGTTGTGTCATTTCTCTCCACCATTAACTCCAACTGTGCTTTTTTCTTTTTCCCCAATCTCCCTTTTCTTTCGCCTATGAACCAGTCTAGTGTTTGATCTGAAGTTGGTATGTTCCCAAACTTATTACCATAATGACTGTTAAAATAATGAAATATTTCCAATTGGTTGGGCAGAACCTAGTGGCACTCTCTAAGACAAGTGGACCAACCATCTGAAGCTACAATCCCTGACATCGCCCAAAGCCTCTGGGACACTTCTTCAACACTGCTGACTCTGCCCCGATTGATTCATGTTCCTGTCCTACCAATAGTTAAGCATTTTATCATATTTAGCAGTGAACAGTTTAGTTCATATTGGTTGTTAAAACTTTTATCTCTTCTCCATGCTGGGAAACTCAGTCATGACCCATGATTTGAAGGACCTGGGGTCAGGAAGGGGTATGACTTCTTTC